TGCTGCAAGAGACAAACCCCGGACTTCCTCATCCTGTCTCTTATACACATCTAGATGTGTATAAGAGACAGGTGTGTGTGTGTGTGTGTGTGTGTGTGTTTGTGTGTGTGCATGCGTGTGTGTCTATGTGTGTGTGTGTGTGTGTGTGTGCCCGTGTGTGTGTGTTCAGGCCCGTGCTGGGTGGGGTCTGTGAGTGTCTTTTCTTGTCGTTTTTATGTTTTTCGTTTTTTTTAACATATACGAACTTTGAAAAAATACAAACAAAAATATGTGGGCGTAGATCTCCTAAATATCTACAAGACTGTATTTTTTATTATTTTTTTGGTTCATTTTTTGCCTGCAAAAAAAATTCTGTGAAAAAAAGAAAAACCCACTCATTTCATTTTTTTTTTTCTTTTTTTTTCGTTTATATATATATATTTTTAAATACAGAAAAAATCAAAAAATAAAATAAAAAATACAAGGTTGTAGATCTCAAAAAGATCTACAACCCTGTATTTTTAGTGTTTTTTTTTGCTTATTTCTTTCCAGGGTATAAAATACTTCCGCGCCCGCTCAAACCCCGCTGAAGCGCTTGTGAGCGCGGGATGGAGCGGAGCTCAAAAATTTGAGCTCCAACCTTCGTGCTCAATCAGCGTGCGGTTTGACAGGGCGTGGGAATATTGTTTCCCCCCCTAAATAATGAGCAAAAAAAAATTAAAAAAATACAGGGTTGTAGATATTTTTGAGATCTACAACCCTATCTTTTCTATTTTATTTTTTGAACTTTTTTTTTTTTTTTCAGTATGGTAGAGGCAGAAAGTAGGACCATATGGTACTCTTCCTACTTGGGCCTTGTCGCGGCCTACGTGGGACCCATTGAGACTCAGTGGGACCAGGCCCAAACAAGAGGCACCCCTTGGACTCAAATTTGTTGACGCAATGTCGCTCTCTTTTCTTTCTGAAATTCGTTGCTTTCTTTTTTTTTATTGGAGCACTCGTTGCTGAGGGGATCTCAGCTGAGATGTATTGTGGACTGGTGGCGCACCATCCGATGCTTGACCTGCACCTTATACTCCACTCATTTCTCCATTGTCGTATGCCGTTACATAAATTTGTTGTACTTTAACGGTGCCGATCGGATTAAGCTCGAGGGGATCTCCTAGTACTTGTACTTTGTCTGACTAGACTAAAACACGAAGTCAAAAATCTCTTCTGAATTATTTTTTTTTAATACTTTTGTTGGTTGCTCTCTAGTCCAAATATTTTGTCGCTCCGGCTAGGAGTTCTACGTTCTCTTCTTGTGTTTTTCAATTAGGTGAACAGTCAATTTTTATGCTTGCGATAGCTCGTCACGACGTGTGAACAAGAGATAAGAGAGAGAGAGAGGTCATGGCAACATGAGGATCTGGCAGTTCCAACATGGCACCGCCCAATCTTTTTAAGATTCTAACGGCTTAGGTGGATGCAGCGGATGGCGAGGATAAACCACTGTACCAGGCCCTCTACCAGAAGGAAATGGCCAAGGAGGAGGAGGAAGAGGCTAAGCGGAAAGCAGGCGCTGAAGGTCTCGAGACCATCTTCAAAACAGTCAACCATGCCTGATGCAGATGTGAAGAAAGAACTGGTTAAGTACGTACATGCCCTCATAAGTTACCATTTGCTCAGCGAGCTTTCTAGAATAAAGTCCCGAGTACTCGATGAAATGAGTCGGTTGCGTACTCAGATGGCAGGTAAGGCCAAGGAGCATCGCGATCAGATACAACAGATGGCAATCATGCACGAGGCCCAAATCTCAATCTCTCTTCTCCTACCTCTTGTTGCTTTGCTAACCGTTCTACCTTCCCACCTCTCCACTATGTATCACCCGCTGCTGCTGCCACGGGATAGAGCTCGGCGGGCGGCCGAGTTCACCGCCGTGGCCAGTGCCCGACCGCAGGCGCCCCGGTCGGGGGGCGGCCACGAATTTTGGGGATTTTTTCAAGTCAAAATAATGGGGAAAAAAACAAAAAAAACATGGGGTTGTGAGGTTTTTTAAACCCTGCAACCCGTTTTTTTTTTTTGAACGAATAATTTTAGAGGAAAAAAAAAAAAAAAAAAAAAAAAACAGAACAGGCAGTTCTTGTCTTCTTGGATTTGATGTATTTTTTGTTTGTTTTCGTTGTATTTTGTGTGAAAAAAAGAATCAAGGAATGAACAAAAAAAGTAAAAAAAGGGCCCTTTTTTTTTTTCTTTTTTTTTTTCGATTTATGTGTGTCATCCTTGCGCAGGGGCCATGCTAATCTTCTCTGTATCGTTCCAATTTTAACGGATGTCCCGAAGGCACGTGAGGGCCTCTGAGGGTTTCGGTGCCCAACGGCAGTGGTGGGGGACCACCATCCGCTGTTTCAGATGAAGCGCGCTATGTATCAGATAAAAGTCCCTCGTCAGGAATACAGGTCAGCTGTGAAAACTTCACCTTGCAGCAGAGGGAGAACACTGTGGAGCAAGGGGGGTAGCGCCGGATATCGTTATAAGAACTCCCGAAAGGCAATGTCACACTAACTCGGTTACAAAAGCATAACCACACAATAGGCGAAATGCGGAAAACACACACGCACACGCACACACGCACACACGCACACGCACACAGGCACACCCCCACACGCCCACACGCACACGCACACGCACACGCACACAGGCACACCCCCACACGCCCACACGCCCACGCCCACGCCCACACACCCACACACACACACACACCCACACTCACTCACACACACACACACACACACAGAGAGAGAGAGAGAGAGAGAGAGGCAGCAAGACGGACCGTCAGACAAACCGGTAGACAGACAGACAGACAGACAGACAGCCAGATAGACAGTGAGACAAATAGACGGACAGACAGATAGACAGCCAGGCAGACGGACAAGAGACTGACCGGCCCACATGTAGTAGGCTTAAGGCTGAATTTTAGAATGGGTCTCATAACGTGAGCCATCAATATCGTCATCTCGAATTTGTACATCGCAGAAACCAAGAGAGGCAACCGATGTCCACTTCAGCTCGAGTCATGTCAGGATCCTCCGCCAGAGACACAACCTCCGTGTTCCCATGTCGGCTTCGACAGAAAGCTGAGCGAAAGCAAGAGATTAATCACATTCGAGAAATGAAAACTTAATTAATTAATGAATTTATTAATCGATTAAACCATTTTAATTCCCCTCAACAACGACCTATTCCGCCGCTGCTCACTTGCCCTTGCCTAATCCACTGCTGCAAGAGACAAACCCCGGACTTCCTCATCCACCTTGCCCTCACCCTACCTGTCTTCTTTCCCTCTTAGGCCGGGGGGGGGGGAGGCAAGAAGCAACAGCAAGAAGAAGCTGCCATATGTGGTGTAGAAAAAGGGGGGGAAGGGAAGCAACAGCCAAAAGAAGAGACTGGCACCTGCGCTCGGTGTAAAAGCCCGTCGAGGAAAAGCAATACGAATAAAAAAATAAAAAGCCCATCGGGGATCGAGGATACTACTAATTAATGCCATTGTTGAGCTCTGGGCAGCTGCAATAGAGGGGAGAAAACGAATAGCATCGAGGTCCACTGCTGCTAATGTCCCCTCGACTGCTGCTATCGAGGGAAAAGAAAAAAAAAAAGAAAAAAAAGAAACCATCGTCGGCCACTGACTGCTGCTATCCTTTGGCCACCAAGACACACACATTAGGAAAAAAAGGCTCATTGGTTATGGAGCTGAGCTGGCAGCACTACCTATCGCGCTAGGATCTCTTCCAGGCATCGAGTGATGCTTCGCTTAGCATCAGGATGCAATTGATAACATAGCGAGAAGCACCGGCTATGGTTATCCCTCCTGATCAGCTTATGTCTATCGAATGAATGTCGACCAATCGAATCCGTCCGTATAACCCTACTAATGTAGCCTGTACAAAGCTTCTAAATGCGTACTCACACTAACAGTATCTCAAATGCATCTGATCGCATTCATGGCCCATAGCTGGATGTCTGGCCGCAATTCCGTCCAGATATGGGTAATTAAGTCCTGGTGTGAGTATTCCCTAAGACTAGGAGTAACTAATGCTCCTATCTACCTCGCCCTGTCTATCGCGCACCAACCAGGAATCCGCCTAGCGGAATCCTATGTCGTTTGTTTTTTTGCGATGTGTCACGTTCTACTACGGTCCTATGGGTCACACACACTCAGCCACCTCACAGTCTCTGCAGTCTAAAGACTCTAAACTGGTTCCGATCTTTTTTTCCTACGTGTGGCTCTATGCCTTGTAGTGTCCTAGTGGCAGCACCTCCTCCTTCCACGTGTCCGTTACAACTATGGACATCGCGCAGTACAAGGCCGTCGCCGCTGCCATCAGGCCGAACCAGCCTCCCGCCTTGGTGGCGCTCTTCGAGTCCGCCCATGCACCCACCATGTTGAAGAAGTAATCGAACGTCAGGAAGACGAACATGATGAACAGAGCGCGGAACGTCCTGTACGAGATGATGGTCATGCAGATCGTGAAGATGGTCCACCCAAGCAGGAACACGCCCAGCGCCACGTGGGTCTTGTCGGGGTTCTCCGCGTCTTTCTCCATCTCCACCATGTAGTAGGTGTACGCGAGGAAGTAGAAGCCGTAGGAGCAGTAGGCCGTGGCGCCGAAGGTGCTACGCGTAAAGAACGCCCACAGCCCCGCCAGAAGCATCCCCGCCCCGCCGAAGAAGTAGCCCATCGCCAAGCCGACGTTGCTGACGGACTCTGGCAGCAGACCCGTGCTGAACATGGACATGGTGAATGCGGTGAGCGCGAAGGCAGTCAGGCCCAGAGGGTTCGGGTTGGCCACCTCGATGCCAGCCAACGTGGGCTTCTCCTCGATAAGCACCTCGTCCTTCATCTTGATACACGTGATCCTCTGCTGACGAACCGTTTCGAAGTGCGTTGACGTTAAGTAGTATTTTGTGGGCTTTGCAGCCTCGCTCCTAGAGAGATTCCAGAAGAGGCGAGAGAGGACGACCCAGAGAAGCCGCGCAGCAGTTGATGAACTCACAAGCGGTGAAGATAGATGAAGAGGGCGCTCTAACTCTCCTAGGCCCTAGGGGATATGGCTGCTAGCGACAATCTTAGACGCAACAGAGGAGAGAGGGGCTATGGTGGCCAACCAACCCAATGCACCTTGATCCGGTGAGGTGAGGTGGATGGGTCGTGG